GCATCGTCCCTCCCATCGGCAGCTGTATCAGTCACTTAATCACCCCCCGCCCTGCCGCTCCGCTGTACAGGGATCCCACGACCCCTCCTCCGCAGCTGGTCTCACACACGTGGAGGGCTGTCGTGGTCGAGAAATAAGGATCTCAACCAGGATCCCACACAGTCGCGTCAGCATTGACGTCATTTTATCCTCGCGTTACTTCGATCTCAGTGCAGCAGCACCACAGCATCCCATACGACAGTCCGCTGGTGCTACGTGCTTCAATAGGGGACGGTCGAGGATTACTCTACGTGCGAATAAAAGACACTCAGACATAAAAAGACTGCTTGTGTTGGAGAGGGCCTTCAACGTGCAAGCATCCGAACACACACCCACTCCACCCCAATCAGGCCCTAGCTATTTACGCTCCACTGACCCATCTAACCAGTCAGAGACAGTTGCGTACGGCGATACGTCGTGTGTGCGAATGGTCCACTCCGCTGGGCGCGACATAAGAGGCGAATCCGCCCCCCAGCCGACCACTCCACTGGCACTCGATTTCCCCAGACACCAAAGTTTCACTACCAAGACACACGAGCCACGGCTCACACCACACACAATTCAACGTCCTCCATATCGAGCTGCTGGAGCTGGAACAACCCAATTCATTCATCTTGCCTGATAACTTCACTCCGTAACTTAGCAGCTGTAACGCTTCACCCACGGGCTGTCACATCTGCTGGCATCATGGTTAGAAACTGCTAGGTTACCCCACACTACATCACACCGTACCGGACTCTAGCGGTATACCACCTACAGACCGACAACACACACCACTTAGCCTATTAACACCTAGCGACAAGCGTGACATGATATCCTTGCACAAAAAACCCGAGGAAAACAGAGAGACGAAAAAAGCCATCAAGTTAGGCGAACGGCGACGCAGTTTTCAGACACAGCAGCTTTCGTGTCTAAATCAGCAAAACATCCAGCTGGAGTTGCACCACACACCACACCCCTCTCACCCCACAGGAACGCTAGACCGACTGGGTTTAGCCAGGCCACGGCGCCAACTACTACCTCACCCCACCACACACTACTCAGTCTTACCTTTCGCGAAACTGGCGGCACTCTCCCACTCCCTAAATCTGACTGAAAGGATATTTGACGCTCTCATTGTCTGTCTAATCACTCACAGCACACCCTCAGTCCTCACACACCAGGGAAAGGCTTGATGCCCCCTACACTCTCCTTAAACCTACTCCGTCACAAGACAAACTAAACACACACAAACAGCAAACACAAATCACAACTCACACCCACACCGGCACCGCGCTGCACTCTGCACACAAAATCGCCGCATCGCGCACTCGCACATCTCGCCCAGTCGCCCCTGCTCAATATCACCAGCCCACTTTCAACAACTCACACACTTCCACAGTCGACCAGGGTTGTTCTCTCAGCATAACTAACTGAGTGCATTTCACCACCTGCTCATGCACACATATCACCAGTCCAACTTCTCGGAATACGACGCACGCTCGGCGACACAGCCACCAGCTATCCAACAGAACGTTCAGCCCCTCGCAGTAGAGCCTGACACATGCACTCCCATTCACCCGCCGAACACGCACTCTCACGCTGATCATCACATCACACTCAACACGCCAGCTCAATTCAATTAATTTACACTAACAGGCAAAAAAATCACAAAATGTACCCTCGCTTCTCTCAAATGTGACGCGCGCTCTGTCGGCACGCCACGCTCGCCACTGCTCATGCACGCCTCTCGCCACCACGCACCTACATTCGCGACGTGTACGTTCAAACATCAACCTTTACGCGTGTTCGTGCGGACCTGTTACCACTCACACAAGCACGAAATTTCACTCCTGCTTAACTCAGACAAACAACTAAGTTTGTCCTGCAAAAAACAACAGTCAAAGGGGTTTTTCTCCTCTTGCTAAAATATCACATAGAGACTATTTAGAGCGACTGTCGCTGCTTGAAGCTAAATTCACGGCAGTGACGCCTCCAACTAACCAATCCAGCGCGTGTCCACCACAGGATGCTCGACACATCGTGCTGAGCCAGGGACGCAGCAGCCGAGCCCTGACACCTCCCGCAGATCCCCACGCGCAGAAACTCAGAAAGGGCTTTTCCTGTTAGATTTCAAGCCTCAGCAATTCTGTCGCAATACTCCAAACTCACTGCAAGTGGCCGCAGAGGACATGCAGTCAGTTAGTCTGCCCCAAATAACCCTTGATATTCAGCTGTTTGTGTCGGGCTGGTAATGTGACTTCCAGCAACCATATCTGCAACACAACAGCTGGCTCCAGTCAGCAGCTGGTGCGTGGCTGTAAACCCAACCCAGGCACAGGAACAGCCAATGAACCGTTCAGCTGGACACGACTACAGTCACGCTTTTCTCATGTCCATCTCTAATGCTCGCAAGCCTCCAACAAGCAACCACCAATAAGTACTGACCACGTAAACTACCAAGAGATACCTCAGTCCGCCGCAGCAGCTGGCCGTCAACAAGAGGACGAGAAGCAGCCTGTACTCGTGCCCTGAAGCTCGACACCGTGTTACCTTCTGGGCTCATTACCTGTTGCTATGAGCGGCATTTTCTCTATGTGGACGTGTGGGCTCCAGCAGCACCCCCCGCCCTGCTTGCAGCGGCAGAACGGGCCGTTAGCCTGTGAAAACCGTAAGGCGACTTAACGCCCGCTTAATAACTATTATAACGTCGGCATCCTAAAATACGCGTCAGCGGAGGGCCGCTACAGCCGCATCGGCTAAGCACATGGCGGACCGCAGGTGGCCAACCATGGAGCCGCTAACGTCTACGTCTGTCAACCCCGCCTGCCGCACTTCTCCGCTACCATCGCCTCCTTTTCTGCTCACCCGCGTTATCCTTCTCGGTGACCATGCCCCCATCCTTAAACGCGTTTTTCAGGCAGATATCTCTTCCGGGTTTGAGCCACATGTTTCACAACTGTTGGAGTCTATCCTGTTTAAAATCCGACCCTCGACAGTGCTCACGGTCGTTATCTGTAACGTAAGCCACCAGACATACAACCCGTGGACCGTTTGTTTGTGTCCGAATCGCCTTCATCCACGGTCGAGCCAAGAATGCTGCCGCCGAGGTCGGCGGTGGCATTCTGGGATTTGCCAGCGGCCCTTCTGACGATAACCGCGCGGCCTCCCACGCAGGCACATCCACTTCTGTGGAACGCTGGTCCACCTTTATGCGCATCGACACACCGCTCGCGCGAGCGCACCGGAATCCGGACACGCGCCCGGCGGGCCCGCGCGCAGCGGGAGGCGGCAGACGCTGAACCAATTGGCTCCACTTTGTGTCTATGCAGCCCCCCCCCGCGCTGTGCTAACACCCTACATACACGCACTTTCTTTTTTTCCAAAAAAACAATACTCTGACTGGTTGTCGATCCGCCATCGGTCACAATACATACACCAACGCGATACCGCTCAGACGACATCCACATAAATTTGAATTACTTCATAATTAAATTTACAATTTATTCATTTTTTTTATTGTTCTCTATCTCTTTTATTCTATTTTTTTACTTCCTCAACTAAATAAATGTGTTAAATTTAATTTAATAATTAATTTATTATTTCTCTGTAATATCCTTGTTATTATTTTGACAATTTGATCACAACCATGCAGAGTATTGTTTTTTGAAAAAAGAAAAGTCTTAT